TATATATATATAGGGTGATCCCGAAAAAAGCTGTACAACTTTTTTGGATTAATATTTGCCTCCACACTGAAGTATTGCGTTTCAAATTTGTACACAACATTTGGAATTGAAAAGGATTTTTTAAAATATTCATTCTAAGTAAATAAACCGAGTAGTTTTGCACTGCATAGCGCATTAAAAAACAACCCATTTTCAGCCATGTCACCATGTTTGTAGCATGATGCACTAGTTTGCATTAGACCTACCGCTTATTATAATAGTCCCAACGGTCTCGCCATTTGCAGACTGCAGTAGTCAAACAGGTCAACAGAAGTTTGCCGATAGTTTTTCTCTTGTTTCCTTTGCCTTCTGAGATCATGGTTAAGATTAGTGAAGAGCAGAGAGTTTTGTATTGAACATTTCCTCACCACCAACTCATTTCGTAAGTTTCGCGCAAGGCACGGAAATAATGCTAAAGTGCCCTTAAGGTTTTCTTTGATGCCAAGGGTGGAAATGGTCCATCAGTTACGACCAATAGAGAATCAGAACTAAAAATTCCAAGACAAAATGACCACTTTAGGTCAAACACACACCGTTCACACCACTTTTAACGTCACCGGGGTGCAGAATTCAGTAGGTGTCTGCAGCAATGACTTTCCTACATCTCAGCGGTCTGCATTCTCAAGGCAGATCTTCATTTATGACTGTGCCATTTTCCTGTTCGCGAAGCTATTAGAGGACAGCAATGTGTTCATGATTCCTCGATCGTCTTGAAAAGTGTGAACATTTCCTCAATGACATTGTGTTCCTTGGCAAAGCCCATAATATTCACCTTTCAGGTTATATTAACTCCACAAATACTGTCTATTTGGGCAACCTCACTCTCCCTATTGTCTCTAGAAACCGCTCCATATTGTAAGGTGTACAGTGTGTGTGTGTGTGTGTGTGTGTGTGTGTGTGTGTGTGTATCCGTGAGTGTGTACAGTGTGTGTAGCTTTGAATTCCCATGGTTGAGTGGATCCTTGTGTTTGGCCACCACTGAACATTACGAGCGACATGTTGAAATGTGTCGAGTTCAAAGGTGGGCATATAGACCACTGATTCTCGAAATTCCACAATTTTAAAAAATCAACTCTGTAGGAGAAAAAAAAATAACGTTTAAAGGTTACAGTGATGGAAAGATTCGATTTTTAAAATAACAAGAAAGGAAAAAATAAATAAATCATTTCATGACTTTCCTTACAACGTCTTTCAAATTGGCGCATTTTGCATTTATAGATGGTTTTTATCAAAGCCATTTTCGTTTTCGAAAATAATTTTATTCTATGTGAATTTTACATAAAACCAATTCCTTTTGAATTAATTATATCTGTTCCAAATTACAACTTTCTAGTACAAATTTTGTGCGAGATATTTAGAAAAAAGTTGTACGGTTGTTGTTTTTCGATCACCATGTATATCCCAATTTCTGCTACTCCAGGTATTCAGTAAGAAAGTGTGGAGAAGAGAAAAGCTCGGCGCCTCTACAGCAGGTCAACATGACGTCATTGATCCCCGAAGACTCGGACGTGGCACAAGAGAGACAGCGCATCCTCCACACGCCCATACAGCAGCTGTTTGTCACAGACTCGCTGATTCTCAAGGAGCTGAGCAAGAACGTAAGACGTGGTGTGGTGTGGTGTGTGATGTGGTGTGGTGTGGTGGGCTGTACTCTGCTGTGTGGTGTGTGGTGTGTGGTGTGGTGTGTGGTGTGGTGTGTGGTGTGGTGTGTGGTGTGGTGTGTGTGGTGGTGTGGTGTGTGTGGTGGTGTGGTGTGCTGTGCTGTGTGCTGTTTGGTGTGGTGTGTGGTGTGGTGTG